CGGGTTTTTAGACAGATATATGATTTACGAAGTCAATGTGTTCCCTTTCAATAATACATAGTTATTAATATGAAAATAGATCGCTTCCATTCATTAGTTTATAAGACATTCGTGGCCTTTATATGTTATGGTACAATCAATCAGTATCTATTCTTAGACACTTTGTTACGTATAGAAGTATAATTGTACCGAAAAATATGACTAAACCGTGTTAAGCAATCTCATTTGATTATTTTTATTTTTTTTTAAATAAGCCGGTTTCGATTCCTTTAATTAAAATTATGACTACGCCTTTAGCTAGCAAGAAAATATTGTCACACTAAGATAATGTTAAAAAAAACTCACGGTACATTAAAATTAAGAAGTACGCGCAATAGAATTCCATTACAGCGCCTCATTTCCAACGGCCAATGGTCGTTATTCTTATCTTATCGTAATTGTTATATGAGTTTGTTAAAAATGACCACATTTTAGCATTCTACTATTATTAAGTCTAATACCTTATTGTTATTTTAATTTAAAAAATGTCCTTAATTTTCTTATTCTTTAATACTGATTTTATGCATCCGACCTAAAAACTGCGAATTGTGAACGCATGTTTAGCCGGCGCGGCTTGCGTCACTCGCAACGCGACGTTCCCCCTCCCCCGCAGCGTCGACTCCGCACCCCGCGCAGACCCTGCGAGCGCCAATCCGACCTCGCACACAGGTCACATACAAACAATTTATAATATGAAACTAGGGTTACCATCTACAAATATTTAAATAAGATTTTTATAATAAAATATGCGCTATTGTGATCCATACCTATTGCATACTAGAGACTACAATACGTATGTATGAACTATATTGTATTTTTTTTAAACTTAAAATTTTAATTAAAACCTGTTTTTATTATCTATCTAGGACAGTTAAGTGCTTAGGTATTGATATTGGTAGACATTGATAGTACTAATCCCAGATTTAAAAATCGTCATTGGATTATTGGATTTGAGTATATAAACAAAAAAAAACAATGTAAGTGCGCATATAAATGATGTTTTATGATTCGCCATATATTAATTTTATTATGCCAAATAATCTCATTATTACTTTATTCAGTTACATTGTTGTTTAAATTCAAATTTTATAGTAGTATTCCACAAACATTGTTAATACCTTAGTAGTCGTGATAAGATAATTAATGCAAAAAGGTTACCCGGCATTGTATTTTTGTTTTTCAGGACTTTCCTCGATTTTTTTTTCCTTCGTTTCTTTCATTATTTTTTAAATTGTGTCAAGCGATAATAAAGAAAAAACCTTAAAAAATATACGTGGTTCAATTAAGTATATGCGGATTATTAATTTTAGCAGTAACAATGATTCATCATTGAGGAGGGATTTCCAAATACGATTATAAAATAGCAACCCAACACTATTTTAAATAGAATCTGGCGAATTAATCGAAATCAAGGATCACACCAACGTTTTGGTTATGTGTCAGCAAAGTTATGAATAAAAAAAAATTGTTCCCAATACTCTTCCTTTTTTTTTTTTTTCCGAAGGGGAATGCTTTCTGCATACTCCATGCCTCTGGGCA